CGGAGAGAGCGCAAGGCAATGGAGGTCCTTCAGTGAAGGGATCACTGGGAGACGGACCAAGCAGGGAACGCCGGAATCCCGATATGTGGAAGCTGATGACAGGCTGGGTGGGCTTGGCTTGGAGCCGGTCATCGGAGTCGGTCAAGCGATCCTTGGAGTCAGCATCTGGATGAGAGTTGTTCTGAGTAGGCCGGAATGAGGGTTGGGATGTGATCGCTCCCAGTCGCAGTGTCCACGTGATGGTCGGACGGCTTGATGAAGGAGAGCGGAGAAGGAGCTTCGGAGCCAGTATGCTTTTATCTTTGAAGCGGCCGTGCTTAGGGTTCGAGTCATGCTGCGGCTAAGTGGTTCTTGGAGAGTGCCCCCCTTGTTGTCCAAGCCAGCATGTGCTCAGTTGGGCGTGGTCGTGGTCATTGACGCAGAGCATCATCCTCTCAGAGATTAAAGGTCTCTAGCTACAGGCTCGCCCGGACGTTTGGTGGTCGCTATGCATTACCGATTGCCGAGTTTGACTCAAAGCTTCCTCGCTACATGACCCAGAAGTGCCTTCCCATGTTGAAGCACTTTCCTGCATATGTCCCCAGCATAAGCAGAAACAGCCCCCCTTGGAGCGTCGAGTGTGCACCCACAAAAGGCCTCGTGCAGCTCACCTGGACTACAAGGTCTCTGGTCCTGGATTCGTCAAGATCGTACCGTGTGCAAGCGGAACCGGGAGGAATGGGCTTCAATGGGATCAAGTCATTCGATGCACAATTTTGTAATAGCCAGACTGGAGCCGAGCTGCTAGATGAGGAGGTCAACGCTGACGCTGCGATCAGGCAGCCGTTTGGTCAGAAACGTGACAGCCGCGATTCTCATGTGCCACGGCTTGGACAACGTGCTGTGTGGGGTTCCAAGTGGAATGGCATTGTGGCCTGCGCGGCCTCGCGCAGAAGTTCTAACATGGAGTGGGCGATGCTTTGGCTACTATGAGTTTGTAAACTATAGAGGGCCTGCTGAAACGCGAAAATTCCCACTGGAGCAAGAGGAGTTTTGGAGGGGATTCGACAGAGTCAGCCTGACTTCATCATCCTGACGCCACCATCTACGGCATGGACTACATAGACTCAGACGTCGCGCCATCCCGCAGCGTTCATCAAGGCCAAGGCGTTCTACTGCGCGACGTGTCGGTCGCGAACCTGGGAAGGACTATGCTGCGAAGTGGGTTGCGCTGTGGTTTGACTGAGTGTTCTTCGCCAGCGCAGCAACTGAGAAGCGCTTTGACCAAGTTGCGCCTGGCGATCGGGCGTGTGACGAATGCAAAGCTGAAGCGCGTGCTGTTCCTCAATGACGCCAAAGAGCGCATCCTCAAGGTGTAAGATCTTGCGCAAAGTGGTGCCACCTATGCCGGCGCCGAAGGTGTCATTTCACAAGATCCTGAGGTTCATTCAGTGAACGGTTTCTTTCAGATGTCTTCGTTGTCTGGGCCGCAAGTGGCGAGAAGTACGCGGAGTCAGTTCGAAAGCCGCTGGATCTCCATGGTCATGAAGCAAATATGGATTGGCATTTTTAGGCCGGAGTGCTTAATGATGGAGGCTGGCAATGAATATGCGGTTGAAGTGGAGGTGAGCGCCCGGTCCCTCAGCATCTACCATGACATCCTCCCGCTTACTGCCAAGTGGCGAACGGGGATAGCCAAATGCCGCTGTGCGTAATACTTATACTGACAGTGATAGTGAAGGTAACAGCCAGCCAACGGCTATCGAGAGATCAACGAACGCGTTGTCAGCAGTGGCGGCGCGGAACCGTCAAGTAAGCGTCGGAGGCTTTTCACCTTCTCAGATTGGCAAGGATGTGGCGATTTCATCTTCGCTCCAGGATCAGCTGGATAAAGGCCGTTTCAAGAATGTCCTCGCCCAGGACTTGAGTTTTGATGCAACGAGAGCTGGCAAGATAAGACAGACAGCTGAGGCCGCCTTTTTTGGGCGGATTCAAGGGAGACTCTGCTGAAGGCCATCAACAGCAAAACATGGAGGCCGCGCGTGGAAATTATCTTTGAGGGAGCCCAAATTTACTTCCGGGCTCCGCCAGCCTGCGGGGCCAAAATTCGTGGGTGGTGCCAAGTGCAAGCACGAAAGGCCTTCAATGGGCCACTGAAACAGGCGATCGATGTGTGTCTGACGATGCAATTCTCAAGCCGGGTGCCAGATACTGCCTTCGAGGTGCGTTCTGACGAAGAAGGGCAGTTCTGCTCTGCAGGAGGCAGTGTTAAGGGCAAGGTGGGTGTTGGCCGGCGACCTTGCAAGGACGCAGGCCTGGGGGCCACGGAAGCGCAGCCTGTTTCCCGCAAGATCATCTGTTTCCTGGGCGCTCGTGTACAGATGCTACGCGGACATATCTCCCGTGCGTTTCTCCAGGTTGAGTCGCTTAAGATGGCAAGTGCGGCAAGGGTGACTGGTCATCTTTTAGAACGATTGGCCCAGCGCGAAGCCCAAGGAACCATTGCCAGCTGCCATTGGCGAAGGATGGGTTCGGCCGGGCGGAGTCCCCGGCATTCTGGTATTTCAGTCTGAACCGCGGCCTTCAAGAATTGGGACTCAATGAATGTAAGTTGGCTTCTGGAACGCTCGCCTTCCATCTCTCAGGGGCATCATGGCGTTGTGCGTGGATGGCATTCACATTCGAATATGTGTTGGGGTTTTGGAGAAGTTCACGTTTTGCTGGAGTTGGAAGCTGCGAGATCCACCTGTCCGAGATGAAAAGATCGAACACCGCTGACGGAGTGCGAACCCAAACGGTGGCTTCAGTTGCAGGACAAATCAACTGGATGGCGAGGCAAGGCAGAGCAGACCTTGCCTTTGGGAATTCGAAGGTCCGACCCATGCCTGGGGCTTTGTCTCAGCTTGTGAAGAGAGCGTGTGAACCCTACCGGTTCATCTTCAAGCAATGTCCTGGTCCCATGGAGAAGATGGTTTTCCTAGGGCGTTACCAAGGGGGAATGATGATGCTTTGGCACGCGACCAGGTGTTTCAAGAGAAGATGCCGGTTAATTGGGTGCTTGACCGCAGCTCGGTCATTCAGCGAGTCGCGATGTCAAGCGCCGAGGTGAGCCAAGCAGCTGAGACGGTGGAGCATAGCGACTTCGTCCGGGCCGTGCTGGCTGAGCTCCACGATCCGGAGATCGCGCAGGAAAATGGCGTGAAATTTTGATTAATTATGGCTGTTAGAGCCAGCTATGGTATGATCTCTTGAGCTGTATCAACACTGGAGAAGATAGGCGTTGAGCGATGGACATCACTATCCTGAAGGAATCCATTCTTGAGGGGGGCAGCAGCACGGGGCACATGGATCAGGTGGGTCCAGGGATGGCTATTCCTTCGGATGGCTTGACGAAGGAGCATGGAACCCTTATAAGGGACGGAGCCATGGCCGGTGGAGCACGCAAGCAAGCGGCGGAAGGCATCAAAGAGGCCCGACGTCAATAACCCCACGAGGGCACGAGAGGCTGATGTAGAAGTTGCACCTTTCACTTGCAGCTTTTGAACGTGAATCCGTGGAGTTTCGGAGCTTGGCGTGTATTGCAACAAGAGTTCCAGTGATGGGGTTGATTTGTGGGCAGCCTTGTGCTTTTCTTGTGTCGAGTTGAGAACAGAATATCACGCTCAAAATAGATTCGCTGGCTACTGAGGCAAGTAAGCTCCATGGAGAAAGTTTTCGAGCAGTCCGGACCACCTCAGGCCCGTGTGAGTCAGAAGTTGTGCTTAAAACTGCGAGCAGTTTTGCGCAGACTCGGAAGAGCGGACAAGAAGATGATGCCGGACCCGGCGGGACTTGGGTTGCGCCACTTAAGTCGTTCGTAACCCCAAAGCGAAAGCTCCCTGCGCCGCCGGCTGCGCCGTCGGCTGCACCGCCTGCTGCGCCGCCCGCTGAGCCGCCCATTGAGCGGCCCGCTGCGCCGGCCGTTGAGCAAGCTGCTGCTGCTGCTGCTGAGCCTGCTGGGCTTGCAGCAACTGCAGCGCCTTCACCACCTACGCAGGCTTCAACAGCTTGATTGGATTAGTTGGCATTGGAAAAGCAAGTGTTCAGCGAAGCATGTGCATTGCGCGGCAGGGGAACCACAGGTGAAACATGCCTTTTGGACTTACCTTTTGGGTTTACCTTTTGATCTTACGCTCTTAGGGTCGCTCCTGATACAAATCAAATCCCTGAACAAAACATTTTCAAATTGGCCACCATCAGATATAGACTTGCTTCATCCAGCCTGACTCAAGCAGGCAGTAGTCAGAGGGGAACGTGGTTCTTAAGACAAATATAATAAACCTGTTAGTAGTGGAGCCTTGTTTCAGGCCAAGGCGGGTCAAACAATGCAAATTTAATTGCACAAATAGTGTTGTGGAATTTGCTCATGTGTTGGAGGAGCACTGTCATTGTGTTCTCAGCTGCATAACTTCTTGTACCTGCGAGTGAAAAGCCCCCAGCTTGGCAGACCGCGGCCAGAGGATTCCCTCGATCGTTTTCAGCAAGACTCGGAGCAGAGCATCATGAATAGCGCCGTATTGCACACAATGTTTGGCAATTCGTGTAGCTTGCTCCCAGATGCTCCCAGTGATTCATCATTTGGCCCGGCACCTCTTGAATTGCCCTACCTTGGATCACGTGGGGGGCTGACAGCAGTTCTGTACTGGTGGGGTCTGCAAGGTCTGCAGGCCGTAAACCTGCATGATTTTGCTTTGTTGATTTGGCGCTTTGGAACATGTTTCGGCTAAGGGCTGTGTTTCGCTTTAGTTGAAGTTGACGTCTTGAGAGTGGAACTACACATACAATGCGAATGACACGTCAGGAGTGCAAATGTTTGGCAGGCGTCGCCGCCAGAGAGTTCATGCAGTCGGCACCGCAGTTTCCAGGATGCTGACATCTGCCAACCTAGCTAGAAGAGCCACTGGTGGCAGCCATTACTTCCAGTGAATGCTGCTTTCCGCTTCGCAACATACGGTTTGGGTCAGTTTGTAGATTAATGCGCCATGGGCTGCTGCTGCGGTTCCAAACAAAAGCTGGTCCCAGAAATTGTCTGGCAAGCTGCGCGGCCGGAGCAGGAGGAGCACCAGGCCGGGAGCTTGTGGAAGTTGGATTGCATTCTCAACCTCTTGTAGTTTCATTTGAAAAAGGGTTGAACAACCCCTGCGAACAAGGTAGCACAAGGGAGGGTGCAAGAATTCATTGAGAGAAGAGTATTGAAGAGTCCAACTCGTGACCGCTGTATCTTTGCATCTCACACAGGGCTTGAAACATATCAGAACATCCCACAACTCCATGCTCAAGACGGCACAAGGGCAGGCAGCCCCGACGCTACAAAATTGGTGCTTGAGCTCCGGTCCGTCAGTGATCAATCCAAACCTGGATGAACTTGAGAAGAGCCGCTGGCGAGGCCTTTTCCAACCTCCTTAGTTTTCCAGGAATGGACATGCGAACATCTGCAAACTCTTTGAGATGCTTTGGATCTTACGGCTTGTCAGAGAAGATGGACATCCTGTGCTCGGCCACGGCAAGCTTCCCGCATTGTCGAGGAGTTTCACGTCAGGGTTGAAGAGCACAAGTTGAGGCTGTGCCCATGCTTTCAGATGCGGAGCTGCCCGTGAACATCACATTATGTTGGGTCAGGATAGACCCCACGGTCAAACAATTTCTGCAACCAATTCAGCTTTTTGGGAGCTGAAGGCTGAAACATTCAAGCTGGCAGGCCTCTCGTATCAAGCCTGCTGCCTTGTACGTCGTCATGTGCAATGTACATGAGTCTCCCGCCAGGGAGCCGCCTGAAGGCAACCCTCATTGGGCCAACAGCTCCTCGAATGTCCTCAATGTGCTTGTTAAGCCAAAGAAAAGAACATCTACCAGAAGTTGTTCATTGCGCGGATGTGGCAACACCTTCCTGAGAGTTCGCACTCTTGACCCACCTCCACCCATCGACTGACATGTCTCCTTTATGATCCCTTCCAAAGCATAAAGTGTTTTGCACTTGTGGCTGGCCCCTAGCCGCCTTAAAGGCTGCTGCCATCACTCGTCTTGCGCCCCATTGAAATCCCCCACTTTTGTCCGCAGTGCAAACGGCCATTGATGCGTCTTCGAACATTGCCCACGGCCTTGGCAATCCCGTAGATCCCACGTTGACGACTAACTGCAGGTGAGCCTTTCCCTTGTGGCCAACTGGATACAGTACAAAGTTCGTGAGACACGGATTGTGTGACCTTGTGTTTCGATCCCTTGGTAGAGGCAAAACAATCTCCTGATCCTTGTGATGGTGCATTCCTGACTCGGAGGACTGCCACCTACTACTGCAATGCCGAAAAAATTACTTCCCGCGTGCTGATCGTGTAGGAAACATGTGATGCAGCCAGCAGGACCAGACAAGCGTGTGTAGGGGGCAGATCCCCTCTCTCGGCCTTGCTTGCCCTTCCGCGCCGTCTAGGAGTGTCGGAACGATTGGCGGTGTCAATACTTTACACCCATTCCGCTCTTCACATTAATTTGGATTTTGCAAACTTGCTAGGTATGGTCCATGCCAGGTCCATGCTGGGTCAGGCTTGTGGGTTCCCTGACCCCAAGCAATCTGTGCCGGCAGCCCCAACCCTTTTGGCAGCCACAGACTTTCGGATATCGCAGAAGCCCAGGCGGCTCCTGTGCTCGCCTGACCGAGTGCCTAGGGCTGCATCCCGTCCGAGTCCAACGCTGACGTGATTAGGGTCCAGAATGTCACGTTGCATCTTCAGGCTTCATTTCTACTGTCACATCTGGGAATAGAAAGGCCCAAAACCTAAGACTTCCTCACTTCAACCGACAGCCGCAGCAGTGCTGAACAGGTTCCCTGCATGCAGCAATTTCCTATAGTGGCGCCTTGTGCACGTTCAGCGCAAAGCTCTTCCGCCTCGGCAGGACAAGCTTGAAGAGAAGTGGTATGCTCCCCACATGCTTTGCGGATATCTTCAGGTCGCATCAGGTCTGTTAGCAATACTAATACTAGAAAGATTGTCCATACAAGATGAGCAACATGCCTCTGAGTCTATTTTCGAGGCCAAACAGCTCATTCCGAGCTATGCTGAGAAATTTGCAATTCTTCTGAGCTGTCATGACTTCTCATTAGGCTCAGCTCATTCTGGGGCTATCCTCACTCTTGCCGATATGTTTGAAAAGAGCACTGCGGTATGGAGTCGGGCAAAACAGCCGGGCAAGGGTGGATGGTTCTTCTGTCGTCGCCGCCATTTGCATTTCTCCGCGTCCCACTCTACTTAGCCCCGCTGAAGCCCAGCAGCGTAGGCGTCGCGTAAGCTCACGCAGGTTTCTGTGGTGGGGAAGTTTTGTGTAGGTTGGTGTTGGAGGCTGCTAAAGCCCCGTCAAGTCGGCATGGGTTTCGTTGTTGGAACAAGTGCTGAGTATGCTGAAAGCTCATGCGCTCAAGCTTGCTCAGGGTTTGCGCGTAGGTGTAACTTGCGGGAACCCGCGGTACTAGACTAAATGAGACAACTCAGCTGAAAAAGGCTCAAGAAATAAAGGAAGTGAGTGTCAGGATTGGAATTCCAAGCTTTAGTGCGCAAGGCCTGCCATCCCGGGCTGTTCAAGTACAAGCCAGTTCCGATGGAGGTCCGCGTAAATGTGGACAAGATCTTGGAGGCCGTGGCATTTCTTGACAAGAATCAAGCGCTTCTTTACTCTAAGACTCTAAGATCGTTTGTCTTTGATTCGTTATTCCAGCAAACCTAAGACACAAACAGTGTGCAGTCTTGGTGAGACGTCTTGCCTTGCAAGACAAGGGTGTGCGAAGCCCAGCATGCAAGCTGACACCTGAGTATTGTTCCATGATGCTACTCGTAATGCTAATGACTTCAATACTCACGACGCGCCCTGGAAGATCGACCAGCTCAAGGAGACCTTTAAGGCACAGGTCTTCTTTGAAGGCAAAGTCAGAATACCGAAGGAACCCAAAGAGGAGTGCCAGGAGGCCAGGTACAGGTATAAGTTCAATTTTTTGGATTTTGTGTGAGGAGGAAAGCAGGCTGTAGTTGGTGGCTTCAAGGCAGAGCAGCTGTTGGCAGGTTTGCAAGTTCGTCGAAGGCCTCGTTGGGCAGAAGCTCTCGGTGGAAAATGCAGTGGACCTCCGCGGTAAGATGGTCGAGAGGTTGAGTGTGGGGTTTGCAAGAGATTTGAAGCTCACCCCTGCAGTGAGGAACTCACGTCTGAGGGCAGCAAGTTTAGGGAGGACTCGGAGAAGGAGCAGAACCTCACCAATCTTTATGTGACGTGCCTCGTGGGAACATCAGGGTTTGTAACTTTCATAAATGCCAACTTGCGTTAGAGCTGGGCACTTGGAAACCATCTGTATTTTCCACGCAGCAGTCGGCTCGGTGAGGTGGCTCATCGTGGGCGTTTTTGGAGAGTCGCTGGAACTGCAGCACTTTCCATTTGACTGTCAAGATTTTACTGTGACCCTGCGCTTCGGAACGTCGCCGGACAGCAAGAAGCAGCTTGAACATGCAAGCCAAAGGTGTCAGCTGAAGTTCCTGATGTACGCTGAACCAGGAGAGGGCGTGATAAACATGGAATCGGAGTTGCTTTTTCGTTTGTGCTTCCCCGCCTGCCAAGGCCCTACCGCGAAAACAAAATGAACGTGAGGCTCGAGGACTGCGTCCAGAAATTATCAGAAATTGCCATGTTATTGCTCACGCATTTTGACGTGTGGGTGGTCAGAAAGCACTTGACCTTCCGAGCCTGAATCGTTCGTCGCGCGGACATTGAATTACAATGTTTCAGTTTGACTCTCTCAAGTGCTTCACGCACAGCATTCTTGTACTAGCTGTGAGGACTCCATGAATTCGTGCGTTGTTCTCAACGTGCCTTGGCGTCACGTGAGAAGTGTTGAAAAGTCCCAAGTTTCCGAAGTCCGGCTCGGAAGCCTTGCTGTGACGCAGTGAGAGGTCTTCAACCTCGAGAACACTTGGTTTCGGCCGCATCGGCTGATCGTCAGAGCTGCCACGACAGAGCACCAGAGCAATTCCAAGGGTCACATCTTTCCTTTGTTGCATGTCACGGTGCAGATGCAGCGGATACCTTGGATCCTTGGACAAATGGGATAGTCTAGGCAGGGCTGCTGATGCGATTGTCCATGCTTTGCATTCAGGGATAGTAGCTGTGGAGCAGCTATGAGGGCTCTCTTTCTTGAACATTTAGCGTTGAATTAGCAAGGCCAGGTAGCTGCCGTTTTTGGTCTAGCGGTGACCTCAGGGTCGACAATTCAAGGAGCGATAGTTCAGGGAGAAGCACGTTCTGACCGACGGGAAGTAATCCTTCTCCCCGCCTTTGCTTGGGAATCGTTTTGCCTGATGTAATTTTCTGTTTCATAGTCCTTGCTGACGCGGCTGTCCAGTTTTTGCAGAAAGTGCAGTGCTCACTAGACAAGCATGGCCTCGCGACTGCTTGGACTGTTGATCTGGCTTCGCTGTGTTGCTTCTCAAAAAAAAACGCTCCTGTTTCCGAGTTCTCAAAAAGGGGGCTCCTGGAGATTTTAGGGATATAGGATTACAAGAGAATTTCGAGGATCCCTGTAGAAGATTCTATGATATAGGGTTCACTTTGAGAATTCCCACGTTACGGCTCGAGCATGCTCAAGCATGCTCTTTTCGTGGCCTTGACTTTCACCACATTCGATTCAGGGCTGAAGATAGACTCAGGTACTTTGTCTCGAACATTGTGACGCCAATGCTGATGATCGCTTTCATGGGTGCATGCTCCACTGTCATCCCGTACCACAACATGGGAGAGCGGCTGGGAGTCTCCCAGAGCAAAGATTACCGGTGACGAAAGGGTTCACTCTGTCCACACAATGTCCTCTCATCGTATGTTTGACGATTTCATGTTCTTTTGGAGGGCGTGACTTAGCCCAAAAAGCCCAAATAGAAGAAAGCAGCGGGCGGGTGAGGGCAGGAGCCTTGGCATGTTTGATGCCCGTTGTCAGGCTTCCCTTACTTTGGTATTGACCGCCGTGGCTTACAAGTACATCGTTGCGCAGATGGTGACCTGACTGCAGCGGATCAGACCAACTTCGGCTTCGGAGCATGTTTCTGAGGATCCTGCAAAGGAAGAAGTCTGAGTTCAGCAGAACACTGGCCCACGCCCACGCAAATATCCTTCTTCGCCCAAACCACTATGTACTCCGAGCCTCACCAGAAAACGATGTTGCTTGCAAATGCAAAGCTTGCATTCTGTGAGGCAGTCCGCCTCATAAGCAGCACACATCCCATCCAGTTTTCTCTTCTCGCAAGTGGCATCATCACAGAGCAAGTGAACAACGCCAAGTCGCGCACGGCAAGCCTCAGCAAGTTTGCGGCAGCATCATGGCTTCTCAGACATGCACGCATAATTGCCCTCATGCCAACTGTTGATGTGTTACGTCGGGACACGCTTTTGGATCACGATGAACGCGCAGCAGGGGCTATAGTCTTGATCATTTAACACACCACCGCAGCCATGTTAGAAAGGGAGCGTCTTTGGCGCAGAGTTGTACTGACTGTATTGTACATTGTCAAGCAGGATTTGCGAAGGTCAGCGGCAAACGAGATGGATTTGGCTATCGAGTTCGAATTCTGACGGGAGTGCGTGTGGATATTTATTCACGGATTGGGGATCAGGGCTGAAGGTTTGGGTTGTAGTGTTTCAGGTGGAGTGGCTGGTCTAGATTTCAGGGTCTTAAGATTTTGGTCTTGGATTTCAAGGTCTCAGAGTTCTCTTGGTCAGGGTGTAGGCATCAAAGTTGTAGGCTTAAGGTGTTTGGCTTGGCCGAGGATCTTGCTTCGCGAAATGGTTTGTCCTACACTTTGAGGTAAAGCCGCGCCCCGTGCCCGGTATGGATCACTTGACTTCTAAATCGCAATTCGTCTTCCTCTGTGTTGTTGCCGCCCAATTTCCGAAAATTCATGGAGTTTGGAAAATTTGTCATTGCTTTAGTTTTCGAACTGGTATCACAATTTGATGTCTCAGGTGCCGCAGATCGGCTACAACACCTGGCTGGACTGGTATGTGATCTTGTCTCAACCCAAAGATTTCTTGCTGGAGTACATTAAAATGTCGCCATTGTCAGGCCCTAACATTGGCAGCAAAGGTCCGGTAGCAATCCTGAGCATTCGAGGAACTCTAGGGGCAGGAAGGGGTTGTGCTTCGGGAGTGACAGTTGAGGTCATGTGTTGCTGGTGTTTCCTCTTCATTATTGTGCTGGAGAATTGCATCGCGGTCCACCTGTGGCACCGCAGTGAGCTCTGGAAGGCCATCTATATCTATTCGGCCTTCATGCTTGTCAATGCTATCTTCTGCATCTGGGCCAGGGTGGTCTATTGGCGGCGTCCGAGCAAGTGCAGCCCGGAGGAGCAGACCGGTGGATCGTACCATTCGTGTCGCGAAGTCACACATTGCTATGCTGCGCTGGACTCTGAGGACTCTGACTCGGCCCAGTCGGACAAGTCAGAACGGGAAGTTTAAGCCTGACAGGCTTGCGGCTTGCCAGCTTCGATATGCCTCGATATGTTCGGACATGCTTGGACTGAACTACTAGGTGCCTGCCAGCCTAGCTTGGGCACATTCTACGTGACCTTCGGCGGCTGGTCACAGAGACCTGGAAAAAACCCTCGTGTTCCTTTCAGGCTTAGCTTCCTGAGCCAACTTAAATAGATGCCAAAGTGCATTGAACGAACTGCTTCGAGGAGTTACAGAATGCGGGCCTTGTGAGTGTTGCACAGTCGCAAGAGACTTAGAGCTGCTGCTTGATGGAAGGACCGTGCCAAGGATAGCGTGAGAGATGCTGTGGTTCAGGCAAGCATTGGTATGACATCTGCCCAGTCAGGTTGCAGGTGGTCATGGTGGAATGTCGGAACCGGATAACAGCTGAGCTGTAGCCGCAAAAAAATAAGCCGAACACTGCAGTCTTGTAAGGCTCAGCATTGATTTCGTGAGGATATGTGATATCTGCAGTAGATATCCTTTAAGCCATGCAGCCGGCACAAACAAGGTAAGGTCATCGCAACAAGCCCGATTCTGAAAGCATCGTGGCAAGCAGGCCCGTTTTGCCAGGCCTGAATCTTGTATATCCGACAAACCTTAAATCCCAAACCTCAATCTTGATGCTACCAGACGAGCCATGGGGGGTGGTGCGAGCCGGCGGAAGGCTGGCCATTGGACTTACGATCTTATTCACTGGTCAACTGGGGCAGGACTAGCGGAACGTGTTGTTTGGTTAGATCCCCCAAAGGCTGTCTGGGTACCAGATATCGGGGCTTGCCTGCAGCGCGTGCCAGCTTGAGCATGAGTCCACTCTGAGAAAGAAGCCCAACTGTCCACGTGAACACGGGCTGCAAGTACTTTTCGGATTCGGCGGGTGTGCGCCCACTGTTTCACGCATCTGGGATGGGCTGGTTGAGCTGTCAACGAAAATTCTTCCCCAACCTACTTGTGTCCGCCCTCCTTCTTGGCGCTGGTTGGCCTAGAGTTATAGGTCCGCGGGGAGTTTTTGTATGTACAACAGCCCGAAACTACTGACGTCAGGCCACTGGTGACGAGGCCGGGCAGAACTGTTGGGTTTCCGGAAGCTTCTTTGGACTTGAGGTGCGTCATGAGAACTCTTCACCGTTTTGCAATGAATTTGGGAAACCAAGGTGCAAGTCCCCTTTCCCGTGGTGCGGCTCTGCATCGTGGGTGATCGCCGCACAGGCAAGACAAGCACGTGCAGGCCAACAGGACATCAAAAACTCAAGGATTGTCACTGCAACCTATGTGGCTACCCTCGCGTTCATGTGCGCTTCACATATTCAGCTTGAAAATCGGCCTAGTGTCTTGAAGCAAAGACTCTGGGCAAGTGATGCCCTCATGTGCTTCCGCCTCTGCCTGTTCGGCCTTCGTACAAGAACGCTGATTTGCTTGATGAAGTAAGACTTCATTTGCAGCAAGTAAATGTGTAGAGCATTGCTTATTGTACCACCTTTGCCATGCACAGGCATCATGTGTAGCTAATGTAGCTGCCAGTTTGGCCTGTCCAGGAAGCTGAGGGACCAACCAGCACAGCAGTATGAGAAGCCCACGCCCGGTATCGACGTGTGGACATGTCAGACTCAAGAGAAGGGCTCAGCATGGCGAGAGCCAGAGGATGCTGAGAATAAGAAGCTGGCACCCATCTTTCAGATCTGGGATTTCGCCGGGCAGCAAGAAAACCTTCTTTACTTCCACCAGCACGGCATTTATGCAATTGTATGCCATCCCGAAGGTGTCGAGGTAGATCCCTTTTCTGCGTTGAGGTTCTGGTTGTGGGCCGTTTCCCAATATACCACAGACAGCCACGATTCCGGGAAGCCAAAGGAGCCTCCAATAATCGTGATCTGCACACATTGGAAGAAGAATCAGGTCAGAGAAGCAGAGCTGAACCAATGTATCCAGGATTTGTGCCAGCAGCTACCCCAACTGAAGAGACAGCTGCTGCTGGGCCTGATGCGAAAACCCGATGAAAAGCAGCAGCCGCAGCGCTGGTTCTTTCCCGTCGAGAATTTATCGGCGGCAGATTCCATTCAGGAAGAAACCAAGTACTTTGGCCCACTTCGTAAACACTTGGAGGAAGTTGCAAGGATTCAGCTGGGCATAGGGACACAAAAGCCCAAAACACATGTTGCACCAGCAGCTTGCCGAGCAAGCTATTTGTTCGAACAACTTGCAGCAGGTATCAACATCCAAGTTCAGTCGACAGCACTGTGCGACGGTTTGACTGGTGGCCCCAACATGCCCGCTGAAAAGGAAAAGCAACGGCTGCTGAAAAAACTCGCGGGGAAGACTTCGGCCCAGAAACCTTTCGTGGCACCTGAAGGTGCTTCCGTCGAGTGGCATGAGAAGGAAATCATCAGTATGAGGCGAGACCATCCAGTTGCTGTGAAAGTATCCTGCAACTTTCTCAGTTTTGAGCACGCGAAGGTCTTTCTCTATGCAAATATTCAAGAGTTCGATGGCGACGTCGCTGGAATACTCCGTGTTCTACACTGCCAGGGTAAACTCTTCTGGCTCGAAAACATGCCAGAGAAGCCTGTTGTCTTGAATGTGAGCGCGATGGCAGCCGCAATTGGCAATTTGGAGAGCCCAAAGGTGTGTGAGAAGAAGCTGAGTAAGAAGAAGCTACTACGCACTCCAGATGGTGCCCGTTTCACTGAGCGAGGCATTATGTCGCACAAGCTCCTTGACGCGCTCTTCAGTGAGTTCGATGACGCAGAAAAGAAGCTCCTGCGCGACGTTATGGTGCACAAGGGCACCCTCATGAAGCGAATCGAAGGTGAGTTCGCGGTCCCATCTTGTTTGCCAATCGCGCATCTGCCAGATCCACCCCAAGGCGAGTGTATCATTTCTTACGTGGAGATGGAAGGATCTCAGGGCTTCGTCCCATTGTCCATGAGTTTCTTTCCGAGGCTTGCAAGTCAACTATGTAGCAGTCAGAGCTCCGCATCAGCACAATCACAGGTTGACCAGCTTGCCCAGCCTGAGCAGAAGTTAAGGCTTGGGCCGCCCCAGATATTCAGGAATAGAATGGAGTTTCTTGCAACGGCAGCGATGAGCGTGTCAATGTTCCCGCCAAGGGCCAGCAATCCGAAGCTACTTCGCTTTGTGTTTCAGCAGGCCAATGAGAAACAATCACAACATGTGATCAGAAGCCTGTTTGCAGCAATTGGTTTCTATGGAGAGACATCCGGAGAGACAGAAACCTGGAGTCCAATCAAGATACTTCGCCCAGAAGAGCTCAGCAAAGTGGGAAGTTTGCGTCACGTGCAATGGCCAGAGGCGAAGGACCCTGAAGAGTTCATCAGAGAGAAACCTTGCCTCGATGCGGAGTGCGATGGTACCTGCCAACATTGCAAGGTGCCAAGATTACTCCAGGAACGTTTCCTCAATGATCTTAGCACAACCTTGCAAAAGATCATGCAAACATGTTCTGTGGACCAAACTACGCCGGCTCGGCCTTCTGGAAGCTTTCGATACAAGAGCATCAAGTTTCCTGGAGATGTAGACATTGAGGAGTACGTCACCGTGAAAGCATCAAGCAAGACGGACGCCCTGACGCTCCTTGCAGGTCTCTTGACGGATCTGTGTAGTCGAGGAAATCGTGATGTGCACTGGGGTGGGCTAAAAGCTGGGAAAGATCCCCAAAGCCAGAAGTACCTCACTTGGAGCCGCGAAGATGTCATGCGAGGCGAGAAATCTGGACAGTCACTTGCCGAGGCTTTGGAGGTCGGACATAATTCGTGGACCGCCAAGCTGGACTTCTTTGGTACGACATCACTCTTCAAAGACGCACCCCACGGATCAGATCCAAAACGAGTTTACGAGGTCACCAACGTCATACGTCTTGGTTTCGATAAAGGTGACGGCATCGTTCACCAAGTGACCCGGGAGAAGGATTTCCTGGGAGTTGTCGAGAAGTGCATGATGGAGTATTCAGGTCCCCAACCCAAGATGATGAAGTTCGCAACTTTGCTGAAGAAACTCCTGGCATTTTGGCTTTCACTTTTTGTTGACATTTGCATGCCTGTCTACCTTTTGGCACAAATATGTGGCGCACAGGAATCAGATGGGCCTGTTATGGATGTGTGGTTGTGGGCGGTTTCCTGTTTGGGTCAGAACTTGTGGTCCTGCCTGGCTTCGCTTAAGATAGGGATTGCTCGGTGAGAGGATCTAGTCGGGATTTTTCGATGACAACGAAGCCGATCCTAAGATTGGCAACCTGGCCTTGCTTAGTCGAAACTTCCACTCCGACCCGCAAACTCCGAAAGGTTTATGCACAGCTTAAGTGCAACTCGTGGTCTGCAAAGGGTTCCAAATTCGAGAGTGCTTCATGAGCACAATACAAGACACCTTGCGGAGTCAGTTGGTTGCCACAGGCGTACAATCCCAAACGCATGACATTCCATGACTTCGTCGGCTATGGCTTATGGGCCATTTTGAGGGTTAATCATGGGTGCAGATTGGTAGGAGAGCCTCCTTGCCAGGCCTAAGAACATTTCAACTTGGAACGTGCGTACATCAAACAGACACTTACTAGTGATGTTACCATTGTCGTTTGGACGAGACTGGACGCACCGGGAAGATGTTGCCTTCGTGCACACAGGAGTGCCTGCCACCAGCAGCAAGGCCAAGATTGCGCGAAGAAGTTTTCTTATAGCGGCCTTTAGGTAATTGTCTGGCCATTCCACTGCCGTTCTCCTTTCATCCCGTCAGCTTTCCAGTATTGTTATTATAAGGGGCTGCGCCCAGGGGCGGGCAACGGAGGCAGCGCATTTTCTTGGGTTCCCTCCCAGAACAATCAAAATTACCACATCTGGCCCAAACCCAGGTTCTCGGACCCAGAACCTGGGTTTGGGCCAGAT